GGCCTACCCTCATCATGGCCTATCCGTGTAACAGCGTGTGTGTTAGGACGGCCTACCCTCATCATGGCCTATCCGTGTAACAGCGTGTGTGTTAGCACGGCCTACCCTCATCACGGCCTATCTGCGTAGCAGTGTGTGTGTTAGCACCACCTACCCTGATCACGGCCTATCCACGTAGCAGCGTGTGTATTAGCACGGCCCACCCTCATCACGGCCTATCCGAGTAGCAGCGTGTGTGTTAGCACGGCCTACCCTCATCATGGCCTATCTGCGTAGCAGTGTGTGTGTTAGCACGGCCTACCCTCATCATGGCCTATCTGCGTAGCAGCAGGTGTATTAGCACGGCCTACCCTGATCACGGCCTATCCGTGTAACAGCGTGTGTGTTAGGACGGCCTACCCTGATCACGGCCTATCCTGTCTCACACCCTGCCCCATCCTGCCACACCCCCATGCCCACATGAACAAACAGGGGCAGCCGAACATCTATCAGAGGAATTCCAGATAAGGGACTGTCTGCATTTTCCAGCCAGGTCGAGGGTTCAACCTCTTAGCGATGGCGTTTAAACTAATTTAAAATGTAATCGATTTTTAGCACCTCTGTTTTAACGGCCACACGTCTTCCCTATTTATTCACATCCATGCGGAAGAGCGCAACAGTGGCACCGCGTGGTACACAACAGTCTAAGGGAGCATCACACGCATCCTTAGCTCGGGTTGTGTAATCAATATGGCCGCCTAGCTCAGAACTGCCCTACCACCACCAGCATGCTGTGAAGGGGGCTGGAGGCCGGCCTTCTGTACTAAAGATGTCCTCTCGCTCTGGATTGCTCAGCGGGTAGCGAAACTACCCAGTCTGAGAGGATTTTAGGTTGGGTATCAGGGTGGGGGGGCATCCGATTTAGCTGGCGTATTCAGTCGCCGTTTGATGTTTTGGGTGATGGGTTCTCCTTCGCTGGGTCCGCAGTGGATGAACCCCAGCCTGCTGTAATCAAACGACCCTTTGTTTCGCCTTCCTATTGAGACCCCGATCAGTGGGAATCAGTCCTCAGTCATTTCAATAGACCAGTGGGGGGGGGGGGGGGGGGGGGGGGGGTTTGTCATGCGCTGTGGAATAATGGTAATGAATTCTCATCCGTTAATGAATGGCTGCGATGTTGACTCCTAATGGCTTTGTTAGTGGGGCTCTGTGATCAGTTTGCGTCAGGTTTTTTTTTCTTTATTTTACTTTATTTCTGGTTGCGTGTTACGTCTCTGCTACTTGTTCCAAGCACCGGAGGCTTTGTGAAGATGAACGTTTGGTCGGGGGGGGCAGTTATTCGCTGAGCTGATGGCACTCAGGCGGGGGGGGGGGTTGGGTAGGTCAGTGGAGCTCTGTACACTTTTTATGGGGGTCTTTGTGTGTACAGTAGCGGGATTTGACCCGGAGTGTGCATGAGGAGCCACTGTGGTTATTTGAATGATAAAGGATGAGAGTCTCTTGGTTCACTAATCGGTGACAGGGACCCCAAACCTTTCATTTGTGTGACAAAGAGATTTCTCAGAGCTGACGGCAGCCGGGAGGTAGAGAGGGCAAGCGGGGAGGCTCAGGAAGGGTCAACGGGGGACATAGGGGTGTTTAGCTTTTGGTCTAGTGTGATTCGGGGCAGGCCAGGAGGGGGTGTGGGGAAGCGATGGGGGGGTGGACCTTTTTAGTATTCAGAGTGGGGAATTTCACAAGAGTGAATACCACAGAACGGGTGCACAGCAACCCCCTCGGACCCTCCCCAAATGGACGAACAAATAAAAGTTCTTTCCAATCGCTGGTATGCTGCACAATAATTGCGGGCTGGGGTGGGCCCTGCATGTGACCTCGTGAGACAGTGATTGGTTTAACAGACGTTTGTTGGAATCTGCCTTAGCCAATGGCTGCCGCTTTAGCCTTTAATGGCCTCAATCAGCCAAATTTGATAAAGTTTAATAGGAAAGATGAGTGGGAGTCAAGTGAATTATCATTTAGCTCGAGGCTACCGACTGCTGAAGTGAGAGAGGCGATATCCCTTCACCGCTGCAGGCTGCTCCCAAACTCTCCTTTGACATTCCCATGGTCTAGTAATGATATAGCGGTTTCCCGACGAACCTCAGCGGAGAAACGACTCATAAAGAGTTTTTACCGACAGCTGCCCGCAGACAGTTAATTTGCTCGTCTTGATTTCCGTCACCACGCTTTCCGGACCCGACACCAAGCTTGATCGACGTTGGATCGCTTAATGGGCTCCGTGGCAACATGGTTGATAAATAGTTCGTAATATCGGGGGGGGGGGTTTTGCTGCAAGCTTCTGCTGACAGCGTGGAACACCACCTTTCACAGAGTAGCGGCGTTCCCCGGAACACGTCCGCGCATTTGATTTCATTTCACGCCGGTAACGATGTCGGTGACAACAGCAAACAGGCTTTGTGTTGAAGTCTGGTCAGGTGTTGGCGATGCGTATACTTTGTATATATTTGCAGGCTACATGTAGAGAGAGCTTCCAGTGGTAGCACAATTAGCCTTCCGAGGCTAATATAGCCTGAGCGTGATATTCTGCTGTATTAGCTTTGTTCTCGGAAAGTAGGCTAATGAAAGCCCCAAAAGCCTGACTGAATACACCTTCGTGTCACTCCCCCATCCACAGTGCTCCCGCCCACTTGTATCCTACTTTCCCTTCATAGGCTAAATTTTTCATTTAGGATTTAGCGCTAATTAACTAGCGCTACAGCGCTAGCAGAGAAATCCAGTGTCTGTGGACTGTCTCGCCTACGGTTAGGGTGCCCTTTAGCGCTGGGATTGCATTGTGTGAACATCACCGCTGGGAGCCGGCCGGGGGGAGGGACACAGTTGGGCTGGGGGGGGGGTTTACGACGCGGTTTAAACATGCGAGGTCAACAAATCCGCACGGGTGGAGGAGAGAGAAGCAAACATGCGGATTTAGTGATCGCCCGCTACTCGGAGAGAGAACCACGGGCCTGATACCACCGCAGCTGCAGATCACAGGGAAGTGGATCCTGCTAAGCGGCACCTCAGTTGCCTGATCATG